CACGGCGGATGTGACCGGTCGGCAGGGGATGCTCACTCCTTCATGGCACCTGATCCCACCTCTGACGTTTTGGAGGTCCGTGTTTGCTCTGCACCTATTTGGTATGTTTAATGGACTTTTGAGCTTGAATACTGTTCGTTATCTCCATATATTTCATCTCTTATCTTTTCGCTTTTAAGTATTGTAACTTTTAAGGAACATTTATTATTTAAGTGATATGATAAATTTATATATAATAATATTAGTAAAATTTTAGAACAAATAAAATGCAAATAAACGTGATACAGATCTTGTGAAAAGCGTATATTTATAATGTATTTTTCTTATTCCGATTTATTGAAACCAGATTGGTATCAAGATTTTTTATTACTCATGCCCAGCCGTGATTTTGTCTGCTTACAAAAGCAAAACCAGTTATGTTTCATAGCAAGTTCGCAGTACAGTTAAAGCAACATTTTCCATTAAAAGGCACCAAAAACGAGACACTTAAAGTTCAACCATCTTATTTTTTAGCGTGAAACTCTATTTGAAATATCTTAATGGCATTTTGAAGAGTATGTTCATCGCTTTTCATATCGGTATTTTTTGTCATCATGTGACCCTATACAGTGGGATCCGATTTTGGGTCAAAATATGAAATGTCAAATTTAACCAAAAAGTGCAAGGGCAAGGTAAACAAAAAATAAACTGCACAATGTTTCAGTTTGTCCCTTGGTATCTATCCTATCTCAAAACTGATGCTCATTTTAGATTTCAGAGATATTTAAGTTATTCATTGAAAACAAACACCATTATTCAAAAAATAGGGTATTTTCATAATTTCATCGGAAATTATAAATTACCAAATAAATTACAAAGAAATGAGCAACACTTTTCAAAAACTATACAGTAAAATAAAGAATTTAAAATAAATTCCTACCTCTTGGGTTATCGCCTTGTCCTTGCATATATATGTATTTATATACTTGTATAGAGGGGGTATTATATCACTCTGATCACTCATATAACGGCTTATTGATAGAAATTCAGAGGCCTGGTTAACAATATGCCTAAAATTTGACGCAGCATCCATCATGTATGCCCATGGTTAAAAATAATAAAAGATTCAATCATTTCTAGTAAACAATAGACGTCCCCTAATCAATTATTTAAATATTTATACCCACCCCTCCCTGTACACACACAAATAAAAAAAAGATCTCCAACAGAATTAATTTTTTCACATACATTCTATGTGATTCTCGTGGTAGCTATCAAACCTTCTACTGTTCAGGGATTCTAGACTAGGTTAAAAGTTTTGTCGAACCAGGAGGAAGGGATTGGAGTGCTTTCACCTGTAATTAACAGTGATTAATAACCTGTTTTCTTTCTATAGGTCTAACAACCCCCCACCCCCACCAACACCAGTTTGCTTCTGGATCCTTTGATACCATTTACCGTACTTGCATGTTAAAAATAAATTATAATACTGTGTTTACATCAGATTTTAATTCTATGAGTACTTCAGCACAAATCACATGGGGGAGTGGGGGGGGGGGGGTAGTCTCTCCTTTTCTGAGTTTCTATCATTCCATGCACTCACAAGATAGTCATCATAGGAAAAACTTTGTAAGAAACAGATTCTCTCTTAAAAAACAAGTGAACACAATATACCTGCTGAAATATAGATCTTTTTGGTAAACCAAATAACAAAATAAATGCACATTTTAACAGCCTTCAAACTTTCACACCACTGTACGGTTAAAAAGTTGACGTATTATTTTTCTAGAAAATATATTTAATAAATACAGCTCTTCAAATTTAAAGGCAGGTTGTGAAGGGAATTCTGAGCAGGTGCAAAATATTTCCGTTCAATCATGTTCCTTTGGATGAAATCAATTCTGAAAACAAAATGAAATACAATTATGGAGGGTGCATTTGTGTTGAGAAACATAGAAAGCATATTACATGTATATATTTTAATTCTACTGTTTTTATTATCAAAATATTTCAATAATCTTGCCTGGAATATGCATAATATGTTTATACATGTAGCTAATATGGAGCAGGCCTCGAGGAAGCAATTACAGGGAGGGGGTGCACCATACATTTTTAGTTGGGGAGAGCACTATCAACTACCAAAAATTCCTTGATAAGCAAAAAAAAAAAATTAATAATAAAAAAGAAAGAAAAAAGAAAGAAAGAAATATTTTAAAAAAGTCATCAGCGTTGTATAATGGTACACCGGCGCCTGTTATCTTTCCCTTAGGTGGCGCCACAGAAAAATGCGGTCCCCTTCGGAACTAGCTCGCGCATTATCATTACGATTTTACCATAGCACATGTAAACAAATCGCTGTCATATACACACGTGAAACATGCCGGAGACTTGCTGTTGCGTACCTGGGTGTAGTAATAGAGGTGGACACGCTATCCCATAAGATCAAACGAGGCGAAAATCATGGATTCACGCAATTAGACGAGGAGAAACACGTTTTCAGAGCTGGGAACCTTCTGCCTATGCTGTGGTGTGCAGATCGCATTTCAAAGAAAGCGATTATTTAGCAGAGACTGTTCACGGTAAAATACTAAAAATTTCCTCATCTATTTTTTAAATGTTACATAAACTTATTATGCACAAAATAATTTATGGTAAAAAATTATAATTTTAGGTATGAAATCAACAAAATACAAGTAAAATATATGATACGTTCTGCCGAATTTCACGAATGACAATTGACATATTTTGAGTTTTTATTGAGTTTTTTTTTTTTTTTTTTTTTTTTTTAGTTTTAGTGAAAAGTTTAGTCTTTCTTTATGTGTCTCATTTTTTATCAACAAAAGTAGTTAAATTATATCGTAAACAACAGCTCTTGACATCAAATGCCAAGAGTACACCCCCACTGATTTGCACTATCGGAAACATGCCATACATACGTAAACAACTGCCCTGTGTAAACATCTGGCATCGTAAATTTCTATGTTCAATGAGACCACCTGTGGTAAATGATGACTTCTTCTGCATTTGTTAATTACATTAGTCTAATCACCTAACCTGATTATCAAACAAAGAAAAACAATGCCATAGTAATTAATTAATAGTTTGCATCTTCAGTCAAACTTATTCATATTTTTTTTTTTAATTTTATTTTTACATATCCATATGTTCTTATTAATCATTAAATGTTTTACATACTGAAATGAAAAAAACTTTGAAATATATTTTTTTTTCTTAAAAATATTGATGAATATCATCAATATATTTCCAGGAAATACACCTTTAAGTAAGAGGTTAAAGAGAACAGCAGTACCCAGCCTTTTCCAATGGGCAGATCCAGCAAGCCCAGCTGTACTTGCCAGGGCTGACAGAGCTAGGACAAGGGGTGTCAAAAGAAAATTAATAGAAGACATTGCATCTACCAGTCACAGTTCAGAAGAAGTGTTTTTTGATGACATTAATATTGTAGAAGAAACTATCTGTGATTACAGCCGTACTACTAATGAAAATGTCTGAAGTCAACATGATGATCAGCAAACAATTCGTCAAAATGTGGAAACACAAACGCCAACATTTCCACCAATGTGCATCGATAACTTTGAAAAGGATGATGCTGGCATTCATTTTTACACTGGTTTGGAAACTATCTCTAAATTTTATTTTGTATTAAGAACTTTAGGTCCTGCAGCATATTCTTTAAATTATGTTTATCACCAAGTCACAAATATCAGTGTTCCAGATCAATTTTTTCTTGTTCTCATCAAATTAAGGAGACACAGAACTAATTTCAAATTGTCAAGATTATTCGGCATTTCAGAAAAAACTGTATCTAATATATTCTATACCTGGATTCTATTTATGTCCAAACAGTGGAGAGAAGTTGATATATGGCCACCGAAATCCCTTGTGAAATATTTTTGTCCCTCTGATTTTAAACTAAAGTTTCCAAAAACCAGAGTTCTAGTTGATGGAACAGAATGTCCTATCAAAAAACCAAAACAACCAAAATCCCAGCAAGCTACATTCTCAACATACAAAAATAAGAACACAGTGAAAATTCTGGTTGGTGCAACCCCTGGTGGCTTAGTTTCCTATGTATCTTCTGCATATGGTGGTTCAACAAGTGACAGACAAATAGTGGAACGTAGCAGTTTGCTGAATTTATGTGATCCTTGTGACTCTATCATGGCTGATAAAGGATTCAATGTGTAAGACATGTTTGTTCACAAAAATATTCAGATAAACACACCTACATTTTTCAAAAAAAGAACAGAATGTCATGTGCAACTGTACTTCAAGACAGAAAAATTTCGAGCAAAAGGGTGCATATTGAGCGAATTATTGGTCTTGCTAAAACCTTTAAAATTTTAACTGAACCAATGAATAGTTCAGAGACAAAGCTGTCCTCACATATAACTTTTGTCTGTTTTATGTTATGCAATTTTAAAACCTATAATGTCCCATCGTATGCATAGCAACATGAATTGCTTTCATTATTTATAAATATTGGTTTTATATTTGATGTTGTCTTAATTTCTAACTTAGTGCATTACTATAACAATTAAAATGAACACAAACTGACTGCATCTTAATCTTTTATTTTGGACAATGACAGTCTTCATAAGATTTAAAATAATTTTTTTCCAGAACAGCAGGCCTAAAATTATTTTCATAGAAAAACTTTAGTTTTCCTATCATCTCTGAAATGAAAGTATCGTTTCTTTGAATTTGGAAAAATAAAATATCATTGAATGTATACACAAATCATTTCGTTCCTTGCCACATAAGGGCACTTCACTTCAACAACAGTGTCTTCATCAATGATGCCATCAGGTGAAGCAGCCAAATAGGGATTTGTTAGGCTTACACAAATTCCTGTGTCATATACTGTATGTCCAGTTATGTCCTGGAATTTTTTGATGGCAACTTTTTCAAACTTTTGTCCATGGAGAATTGGAGCTGAATGGAGTCGACGTTGTTTCGTAACAAGTGTCTCTGCTAGTTTTTTTTGTCTGTTCTATCAGTCATTTTGCAGATTCTGCCAAACACAGAAGAGTGCAGACGCTTGCATCTTCGTGCCACATATTGCATGCAGCCTGTTTTGCTGTATTTAAATTAAGAATCCGTGCCTCTTCTTCTGTTATCTTTGAAACATTTATACTGTTCAAATACTCGCAGCTACCTTGAAAAGTAAAATAGTCATGGTCCACATCAATTCCCCTCATATTTGCTGGAGGGAAAGTTTGAAATATAGGAGTCTTGCTTACTCCTGGATAAGAAAGGCATACATTCTGGAAGTATGATTTATATCCTGGATTGTTCCTATATTCTATTGGCCTTGGATCAAATCCATCAGCAAAATTACAAACTTCATCACATCCCGGCATGTCCAGGTTATTCGCTTTCATAGGGGTTCCTCTATGTGGCCTCACTCTGTGAAATGTCTGCAGCCTTTGTGTGCATGTTTGTTCCGTTTTCACAATTCCATTTGTCTTAAAGGAAAGACATGCATACAGGGCTGTGCATATATGTTTACAGTGCGCAAGTGGTCCCATTCCAGCTGCACACTCGCACTGGCACTCTGCAAAGTTGCCATCATTTTCCATCACAATGTCTATAGTATACACTACAGACTTTGACATCTCTGCTCTAATGGCACTCCTAACATACCATAGGGAATTGTCTGCAGTGGTACGGATGTACTTAATAAATCCATCATTGTACAAATTCCTTGCTTTTGATTCCAGATTTTTATTGAACTGTGCCAAGTATGTGGTGATGTTATCCATATTACACCCAGGAAAATTCTTGTCACTGTTTAGATCTTCATATTTTTGAGGATCAGGTAAGGCCATCACATAATCTTGAGCAGTAGTGAGGTCTGTCCTGGAGCAGTGGGCATTGCGTGTGTATGCCTCAAGCCTGTTTAAAACAAAATAAGCTGTTACTATTCATACATTATATGGGCCTAGTCGACATTTCTTCTACAAAACAAAATTAACCATTGATTTTAATACACATTTCTGAGCGCTGTATATCTGTTAATTTGCCAAAAAATTATAAAATATGGAGTATATTTTTAATTTATGCCCCGTACATAAATGACTAGGAAATTCGGGTTACGTCGTAAAACCAGTTTGAAAAGTTCTGCAATACATTTTGTCCAGCAAAGGTATAGAATCGGAATTAATTATTGTCTTTTTCATACTTCTGCGTCCTTACTTCATACTGATTGGAATAATCGCGTAAGTATTTTAAGTAAAACAGATAAGAATCATAAAATGTAAAACAATACGTACCTTTCTACAAGCTCTCTTTTTCGTCCTGATTTTTTTGCACCAAATTTTTCGAGTTCCTTTCTTAATTCAGGAATAGTCATTGAACCAAAATTAGTTGCCATTGTATACATTTTCCTCTTAAAACAATATAAAACACGTTCGCTTTCTTTGAGAATACAGATACTGATAAGATGCAGATATGCCATTATCAGCTGTTTTGTGTTGGACCGCATTTTCCTGTGGCGACCTCTCGCGGTGCAAGATAAGATAACTCACTCCGGTCCCCCATTGAGGTTGCATAAGCATATTATAGCTATGCAGCTTTTTATAGTATTCTGTATGTCAGCAAAATCATTGGGAGGCACCCCCCCCCCCCCCCAAGGTTCCTACGGCCATGAGGAGCATATCTTTTTACTTGATTGGTGAATACACGTGCTGCCTGATTGAATGAATTGTTTTAATTGTTTGGGAGTATTTACAACACAATATATATGTAATGAGTGAAAAACAATATGATAACTATTGTAAAATGAAATGACATCGCATTGTGCAAAACAAACCATGAGTCCATGATATACTATATTTTCTGAAATTCATAAAATAAATGGAAACAAACTTTTATACATTATTTTTTTGAGAAATTGAAACCTATAACATTGGCAAGAGCAGATTGGTAGCTATAGTTAAAGTAAAAAAAATAATAAAATCAATATACTAGAGGTAACATTTAATTCTTTCACCTATATAAAATTGACAAAAAAAATATTACACTGGCATATTATAAAATCAATGTGAAATGCTTTTTATAATTTATTAGTAATGTTCATACCCACTGGAGAAATTGATGCATCTATTATGATAATTCTGGGTGTTGTAAATGCCAGTTTTATTCATTCTTCAGCCTACAACACCTGGTATTTACAATGATAAAAAAATAAACATATAAACAGTTAAAAAATACATGTATATACATAATTACGTGCAGTCAGACGAATGAAAATTTAGATATTTTATCTTCATTAAATAATATAGAAATTCTACAAATTTACAGCCTAGTGATACAGATAGATAAAAGTTGTAAAAATAAATTTAAAATATGAAGAATAGCTAAAAACCTGAAATCTTAAATTTCATTTATTTTTGATTGGTATTTTTGATTGCCAAAGGTATAAATTAAAATTAATAGGCTCTTGTACTCTTGTATTTACAGTGACATACATAGTGCACTGTGCAGTTTGACTTCACATATACACTACAAGTGTGATTGCATCTAAATTATTATTTGTTACCATGTCATGCTGTGCATTTTATATTATGTAACATGTTTATATGCCGAAAGATAACATCATTGTATGTTAACTGAATCAATGAATGAAACTGTTCATGTAAGAAATGAATTATTATAGTGATCCACAGTAATATAGTAAATACATATAAATGCATTAAATTGTTAAGGCATTAAATAACTTTTGTATCATTGCAGATTTGCATTGTTACACATATTGTTTCAAAAGTAAGCTGAATGACAAGAATTCTTATTCGCAAATTATATTGTTAAAAATGTGCAACTTTTATAGGGCCAAATGTGCGGGGGGGGGGGGGGGGGGAGCATGTCATACACAGAAGGCACTGCATCACAGTTTGTAACGGACTGTAATAATACATCTTGTTGTACATGTACACGGTTATTTTACATTGATGTAAACAATAGTATGTCTACATGTTGATACATATGCGCATACACACCTAAAATGAACAGATAGGAGGTAGGTGGTGCAGATCGTCCCAGTTTTCCATGATTTCCCGAAATAACGTCATCATCTTCTTATCAAGTAGATAAACAAGACCTAGGTCTCTTATTTTATCCATATTCTCTTTAAAGATTGCCTGCTTGTTGCATTTATCCATTGCATATCTCAGCTGCTGTCGCCACGTTTTCAGATGTAAACAACATTCCGTGACACCGAGTGCAAGCGCTTGGCTGAAGCCAAACGACACCAAAAAAAAGAGAATTATTTCGAAGACGTTTTGTTTTTATATAAAAGAAAATCACTAATGTTTATTTATTTAAACATGAAAATACAGATATTCATTACAAATTCTCGCAATCATCGTTAAATGTCTTTTTTGAGCTCTATTTCCTTATATAGATCTATCAGGGCGGAGCGACTGTCATGACGTCAAACCTCATGACCTCATTACCATATCATCTTCATGAGTAGCCTTAACTGTACTGCGTTTGTTTTACTTAGTAAGCAATTCAAATACTTTAATTAAATCTGTCAAGACTTCTGGCCTATTTGGGATGAAAGCGTATGTACATTTCACTCAGTGTCTGTTTTCTAAAACAAAAAGCCAATTTAACACACAAGCCATTCCCATTGTTGACATTTAAAGGTCATTAGTTTTTCCCTTTACTTATTCGGTTGTCAATAAGGGTCATACAAATTAAAAGTACACTAAAGTCGAAATCAACACTATAACTCCTGCAGACAGAAATAAGAGAGGGAAGGAGGGAGAATTGTTGAGTGGACAGTGTAAGGAAATAAATCTTTTCAACTCTATTCTGTTGCAATTCCATGACTCCATGCCACTCTAAATCTATTTTTATAGCATTTACACAAATCTAAGCAGAAAAAGGGTAATGTAAAAATATTTACAAAATATGAATAAAAACTATAAAATGACAATCAAATCATCAAATGTCAACTAAGAGGATACCTTGCACTTTGATAGTAAAAAAATGTGCATGCACAAATCCTGGAATTATTTCCAGGGTGAATCCCACATCAATGCTAACAAAATATCAAACATTAAAATTAATTTTCTTTAGATAAATGACTTCATGTCTTTACCATTTGGGAGGGGTCCATGTGTTTCCAAAGAGTAGGGTAGGTTTGTTTAAGAATTTTTTAAAATAAAAATTCAATAATTGAAAATTCTGCCCCCTCTGTATTTCAATTTTTATGTGGTAGTTAAAAATAAATCATGCATCTTAATTATTCACTTCTCAGTGCAGTTGTTAGCTACAAAAATACTCTAATAATTGCTATTTATCTGTCTAATATTAAAGCTGCCAACACTTCTACACAGGTTTGTTAGTTTGGAATAGGAATGCAATCATATATCAAAGCCTAGTTTCAATGTCGTTCATGTATCACCTACTCTTTGTTATGAAAACATATTCAGATGTTCCTCTGCTGTCATTTAAAGGTCATTATCTTTTTGTTTATTTGTTATATTTTTTTTTAATCTTTTGTTTCTTATTTCATTCTTTTTACACAAATCCAAATCTACATTGCAAGGGAATGATTGTATGTATGGGAAATCATTTTTTTTTTTTTTTTTTTTTTTATAATTTTCTTAACTTTCTCTACTGTTATGATACAGACTCCACTCCACTCAGCTTTTAACCCCAAGCCGTCATCATTTACAAACTTTGAACGATCTTCCTCTTCCGTCAATGAACCTTAATTTATACGATCTCATACGAAGGGTCTGTAGGTTTTCCTTAACATCAGAGGAATTCTGACCTGCCTACCCTTTTTATTCCAGAGATATTATTAAAATCTCGATTAATGGAATTTCAGATGCAAAAGGGTAATCCTTCAAATTCTTCTATTTAAATGTCTCAATGTGTTACATCTAAATTAAACAACTCTACATCCCGTGTATCAAAATACAAACAAGCATTCTGAGAGTATTGCATTAGCAACACTAGTCCCCTACCGGCAAGTGTAATCTAGTTCCCGTTAAAAATGGAAAATACCATAATTCCGTCAAAAATCAATGAAGCGGAACGAAATGAAAACCTCATCTGTAACTCATCAGGATTCACTCACATACCAAAAATCAGCTCAATATCTGCAAGCATTTAGAAACAAGAGGCCCAAGGGCCTTAACGGTCACCTGACTATGATACAATAATTTAAAGGATGCATAGAGTATAAAATGAACTGAAAGGTGAAACTTTGTTGCCCAAAAGAAAAAAGAAATACGGTGATCATGATCAACAAAATAATTGGTCTTAATATTCATTAACAGTTCATAAATTAGGTTCTAATCTGTTCCCCATTTATCACTATCACCATACAGTATATTAACAAATTATCAATGCTTCTGCACTATTTTAATCCCTTGTTGAAATTTCTTACATTGGCCTCTCTTGGTCTTTGATGAACATTTAATAAGACAAGTTATTTTTGTCTCATTTTTATTTATCTACTACTTACAAGTCTATCTGATCATTAAAACAATGAAAGTACTTTTTGTATTATACAATAAAAGTTTTTGCATAATTCTCTTATTCTATTTACCTTTCAAGTACATTATTTACAGTGATAAATTATAAAAAGTAAATGGCAAAGGGGAATAACTCCTCTCAGTAGAATACAAACTAATAGAGCCCTGGCCAGGATTAGAACACTTGACCAAATGGTCCAGATGTTCAAAAATCTTGTAAAAATTCCCTTCCTCATAAAAATTTTTACTCTATTTGCCTCAGATATGCCCAGGTGCGGAGAAGATTTTTAAAGAAATAATGCATTTTTACTACAGATTCACTATATTATCAATAGACCCCCCCCCCCCCAAAAAAAAACACCAGAGCTTCTGACCCTGGAACCATAGGTTTGCTCATCATAACTAATCACTTTGTTTATCTGCTAAACACTAAGGAGCAAACAGGATTATTTAATAGAATTAATGCATTTTCACTATATTATCAAGAGCCCCACCCTCACACCAGCACATCTGACCCAGGGGTCATGAAATTAACTACTCTGAAAGAAGCATTCTTGCTCATCATAACTATACACTTAGCTTCTTTGCTTTTTTAACCGGAAGCAGAAAAGAATATTCTCAAAGAAATTTTGCTTTTTCACTTTATAATCAATAGAAGCCCCCCCCCCCCCCCCCTTCACAATTTTGGAAGAGGCATCCTTGTGTATCATAACAATGTACTTAGTCTGTTTAAACAATACCCAGGGGCAGAGAAGAAGATTTTCAAAGAAATAATTCACCTTCACTATAGGATCTATATAGCCCCGCCCTAGCACCAGAACTCCTGTCCCCGGGGCCATGAATTTCATAATTGTGGAAGAGGCATCCTTGCTTATCATAACAATGTACTTAGTTTGTTTAAATAATACCCAGGTGCAGAGAAAAAGATTTTTAAAGAATTAAAACATTTTCACTTTATAATCAATAGAGCCCCGCCCTAACACCAGAACCCCTGATCCAGGGGCCACGAATTTCACAATTTTGGAAGAGGCATCCTTGATTA